GCTCCAACGCCCCCCCCATCTCCCTTAGGCCCTGAGCTTCCTCCTTCTGACAGCCATGCCCTGCGCACTGGGGATGCCCTCCTGCAAAGAGGGGGAGTTCCCGATGGGGGCCATGTGCTGCCCCAAGTGCAGACCAGGTGGGTGCAGCTCTGCAGGACCCCTGGGGGGCGCCGGGGGCGGGGCTGTGCTGGGGGCAGGCATCCCCCCTCCCCTGGCCTGGAGCCCCTCTGCTCCCAGCACCCCTTCATGGAAGGCCTGAAGGCCCTGGGCACACAGGGCACCCCCAGCTTCCCCCCCAGACCCTCAGCTCAGTGCTCAGGGCGGGGATGAGGGTGGGCAGCCCATTTCAGGTCAGGAGCGGGGGGCTCAGAGCCAGGCCTCTGTGTCCCAGGAGGCCCCCAACTTCCAGAAAGTTCTCACTACCTGCAAAGCTGGCTCACTGGCCTGGGGAACAGCCCAGGTGGGGTGACCCCTGGGGGGATGTCACACCTGCCCAGGCTTCCAGGGGCCATCCCACCATGAGTGTGTGCCCGCTTGGCTGCAGGCTACCGGGTGCAGGAGGCCTGCGGGGAGTTCAGGGGCACAATGTGTGTGGCCTGCACGCCGGGCACCTACACTGCCCACCTCAACGGCCTGCCCGAGTGTCTGCCGTGCCGCGTCTGTGACCCAGGTGAGACCAGGAGCCCCTTGGGTCTCGCCTCTGCGTCCGGCAGCTCCGGGCCTATGTTCCGGCTGAGCCTGGGCTGCGGCCGGCAGGGACAGGAGCCCAACCCTGGCTGTGCCGAACCCCCAGCCCCCCCATCCCGGCCACAACACTGACTGGCCCTCAGGCTGCCCGGGGCCGGGCCTCCGTCACCCAGGGGGCTCCCTGCCCAGGACCCTTCAAGGAGCCTCATCCCATGATGGCACCTGCCTCTCCCTAGAGAGGGCCAGCGCCTCAGCCCCATCACCTGTCACCCGCGCTTCCAGGCTCAGCCACCCAATGCCCTGCAGGCACCCCTGCCTGAGGCACAGCCCGTGGGCCCCCGGGGCCAGGCCCCCTCCACCTGCAGTGCCGGCTCCCAGGTCCCCACACCCTCCCCAGGGTCCTCCTCCGGCTGAGCACTGGCCCCTGCGTCTCCTCTCTGCCTAGGGCAGGCGGTTAGGCTGGGGCCCCCAGGAGGAAGGCTGGGACCAAGGTGGAGGCCACAATGCTTTGGGGTTCAGGCTGGGAGGTCTCAGCCGCCCAAGACGTCTGGCCTTCTGTGGAGAAGACCCTCCCACCGTCCCTGCTGCTGCCGCCCCGTCCCTCGGACCCCCCTTGGGACTGGCCTCTGCGTCCGGCAGCTCCGGGCCTATGTTCCGGCTGAGCCTGGGCTGCGGCCAGCAGGGTCCATGGGGAGCAGAGGGGGCTGCACCCCTGTCCCCGTTCCCTCCCCAGGCCTGCGGGCCCTGCCCAGCCCTCAGCGTGGTTTCCTCCCGGGACGGGGCACTCACCCAGCCCTGGCAGGCCTTGCTGCTGCTCTGAGCTCCTTCTCTGGGTCCCAGGCCTGGGCCAGGTGACCAGACGGAAGTGCTCCGCCCAGACCAACACCGTGTGCGGCTGCGGGCGCGGCCACTTCTGTGAGAAACAGGACGGGGACTCCTGCGTCCAGTGCAGGCCCCACAGCATCTGCCGCCCGGGCCAGAGGCTGCGGGAGACAGGTGAGCGCGGCTCCCCCTGAGGACACAGGCCCCGGACCCCGGCCTGAGGGTGCCCCGAGGAGCCCCCTGCCCGACACTGTCGTTTCTCAGGCACCGAGTGGCAGGACACGCTGTGTGAAGACTGCCAGCCGGGCACCTTCTCTGCGGGGGGCACCCAGGCAGCCTGCACGCCCTGGACCAGGTAGGTGACCCGGGTCCCAGGAGGCGCTGCCAGGGCCCCCTGGGAGATAAGGGCCCCCCATCGGGGAGACAGTGACCCCCCAGCTGCCCCGCTGACCCTGTGGCTCCCACACCGCTGCCACCTCAGCCCATGGCCCGGTGTGCACATCCCAGATGCCGGGCTCAGGGCGGTGCGGTCAGAGACCCACCCTGTGTTCCGGGGTGTCCCCAGGTGTCAGGGCTGAGGTGTCCTGCCATTCGGAGTCAGGGGTGCACACACAAGGCTCTGGAGTGAGGATTCCACTCCCTGGAAACAGGAACCCCAGTGCCCACTTTAGCCGCGTCTACCCAGCGCCCTCCCCGCCCCCCTACCCCCCTGTTCCAGCTGTGACCTGGCTGCTTAGTTTCTGGTGTGACTGCCACACAGAGGCCCAGGGTCCTGTGTGTCCACCTGCCCCACCCCTCCTATCCTCCCCCAATGTCTGTCCCTCTGTCTCCACCCTCCCCTCCTATACATCTTCCCCCCTTCCTCTCCCCCGTCTGTCCCTCTGTCTGGGGCACTGGCTTTCAC